CTTCTTCAATGTCTTTTGGAAGTGGGCGCGACAACAGTGGTGGGAAGTAACCCGGTACAAATACTTGAGTAGATTTTTAAGGGGCAACCACACACACACACACACACACACACACACACACACACACACACACACACACACACACACACACACACACACTTCCTCATTAAAAGTTGTGCCTTCAAAATAAAAGCACACAAGTCGAACGGCTTCACCACATTTTCTTTGGCCCTGTGGAAGCTTCTTTAGCAGTCGCCCTCGAACTATGTGATGCCTGTTTATTGACGGCGACGGTCACAAAACTCACTTCGCGGCCCAAAAAAGTGTGGTGCAACTGTGTTATTATAATAGGAGGTTTTGTTTGGAAGATCGGACTTTTGACAGGATGCATGATGCCGATATTGCAACAGACAGAGAAGTTGGTTGCCCTTAAGTTTAAATCTTTTGAGACAATTATTTAAGAAATGTTTGGTATTTATAGATGTTTTAGGTTTATAGATGCCATTTTGTCACAAAAATGGTTTGCCGGGTTGTCTTTGAGTCATCTAGCGAAACATTCAGGCTCGCCTCCAAGGTTGTTTTTAATTGGCCAATCAAATTTCATGCTCTGTGTTGCCATGGCAATGTAATCTGCCCACGGCTTGCCCACTTGAACTCATTTAGTATTGGGAGTGTTTCTTTATTGAATTCCAATTACAAATTCCTCCTCGCGCTGCCTCTTGATGACATCATCCTTCTTCCATCTACTGATTGGTTGGCAAGAGCAAACTTGTTCCACACCTGGAAAACACATCTGCAGCAATTTGCACACATGACTACTTTTCATAACCAGCATCTCTCGGTGATTATGACGTATTTTATTATTGTTATTTTGACTCGTATATGAAAAGCGAGGTGATATTCGGAAGTGGGAGCCGCCAAAAAACCCCCACAACCGCTCAAACCTGCCAGCCTCTCATTGTCCCCTTTTTGCACGTTTCGTGTAGCGCTTCACGTCGCTGAGCTCATTTTCATGACAAAGCTCGTTTGAACGTGGCCGTCGGGGCCCGGCGCGCCAGGCCTTGTTTTGATGCTTTGCCGGGACGCCGCGTGACACATGACGAGCCGCGCGGGCCTTCGGGAGGGGCCGGCGGCTTCTTGCCCCGGACGCCCCTCGCGTACAACAACAACATCAGCTGCCCGAGCGACACGCCGCCCCTGGTAGCCCGCCGCCTCGTTCTAACCTGCCGCACACCAAAACAACAAATCAAAGCCATCTGACACACACACACACACACACACACACACACACACACACACACACACACACACACACCACACACAGACCCTAGCTGCTGGCTGTGTGAGTGTGAGTGTGTGTGGTGGTGGTGGTGGAGGCTTCCTTTAAAGGAAGCAGTGGGACACAGCTGTTAGTTGGGGGCATGGAAGGTGTCAATGTGTGTGTGTGTGTGTGTGTGCGTGTGCGTATTTGTGCGGGAGTACATCTGTGTGGGTGTGCTTAAAATGTGTTTTTGTTTTTGCATGTGTGCCTGTGTGTGTAAAGGCATTTGTCCACAGGTCTTTGTCTCAACTCGACTGTATTTCTCGAGCACTTGAAAACAACCACCGTTGTCTACAAAGTGAACTACATGGAGCAAAAATCATTCACGGCATAAAAACAATGAATTAATAGTAAAGACAATAAAAGGCACAAAAACAGTCCAACTAGTAGGGCCAGGCCATTTCAAGATTGGAAAACAAATGATAGGATCTTTAAAAAGAACTCTCAAATGTAGCCAGTGACGGGATGCCAGAGTCGGAGTGATGCGCTCCCTCTTACGAGTAGCAGTTAAAAGGCGAGCGGCAGCATTCTGGCGCAACTGGAGACGCTTCATGGAGGATTGGCTGACTCCAGGGCTGAATGACAGTTTCATTGTGCTGTTGAGAAAGCAGAGGCGTCATTTTAGCCAGCTGCCGAAGATGAAAGAAGCTCGATTTGACAACGGCACCAGTCCAGCTTCTTTCATCCTCGGTTTGTAAATGTAGGTTTGGATGTAAAATGTGTTTCGTTTTTTTTTGTGTGTGTATGTGTGTGTGTGCCCGTGTGCGTGTGTGTGTGTGTGTGTGTGTGTGTGTGTGTGTGTGTGTGCACATACAGTGTGTAATGTGCATCCAAATCTGG